TTCATTTATGACCTTGAAGTACAAATATTGAATAAGTTTGGGTCTTCGTGGGATCTCTTATATTGGATATAATCTGTACAGGCTTTGGCTTTTTCAGGGTGCTTGTTCTCCGGGTGGTGACGGATGGCTTTTCAGCTGACGCAGTTTGGTTGTATTGCGTATTTCCGGTCTGTGTCAGTGGGGGTGTAACTTGGAGGACAGCAGCGCATCTGGCAGGTTGTCTTCAGTGTATGTGGATACAGGCGTTTCAGGGCCGTCACCTCGCGGTTCTGACACACGGGGTCCTGGACGCACGGCTGGGAAATCACCTTGCTGCTGCACCGTGGGGGGAGGCCAGGATGCCCGTTATTGGATATAATCTGTACAGGCTTTGGCTTTTTCAGGGTGCTTGTTCTCCGGGTGGTGACGGATGGCTTTTCAGCTGACGCAGTTTGGTTGTATTGCGTATTTCTGGTCTGTGTCAGTGGGGGTGTAACTTGGAGGACAGCAGCGCATCTGGCAGGTTGTCTTCAGTGTAGGTGGATACAGGCGTTTCAGGGCCGTCACCTCGCGGTTCTGACACACGGGGTCCTGGACGCACGGCTGGGAAATCACCTTGCTGCTGCACCGTGGGGGGAGGCCAGGATGCCCGCTCGAGGCCGTGATGTGCACAGGTGTGTGTGTTGGGGAGGAGGTGGGGCCAGAGAGCAAAGAGTGGGGTTGGCTCTTGCTGGAAAACAAGACTTGAAAACCATAAGACACACAGAAGAATCCTGTATGTGTCCTGTACTCGTGTTCACTCCATTTGCGTTGCCAGGAGCAGGGTTTGGCTGAGACATCAGAGCTGGCGACACCCCCCAGGGCCTCCTGGGCAGGATAGCCTAGAGGCCCACGCCCGTCACTGGCTTCCTGCCTTTGCTGACTTGCCCTGCCGGAGCCCAGTTTCCCGATTCACTAAGTGGGAGTGATAATAAGTAAACACGCTCCCTGGAGCACCCGTTTTCACATGCTCGTGCGTGTCTGCTGCGTGGCGGGCAGGCAGTATTGGGAAAGCCAGCCATGCTGTGACTCCCAGACTGCCCTGGCCTGGAGAACCTGCCCTTCCTGGGAGCTGTGAGCCTGCACTCTGGGCCCAGGCCTGTCTGCAGACGGTTCCCGCTGTGCGCGCCAGCGCCTCTCGGAGCAGACCTGCATGGTGAGGCGGGTTGTTTGGTGTGTAGTGTCCAGACGGCAGGAGTCAGCAAAGCTGAAACCACGCCTGAGGGGCAATCAACGTTCAGGAGGCTGTGACTCGAGAAACCACCGTCAGACCTGAGGCCCCTGCACATTGAAGGGCCTGTGCGGGGACCCGTGACGCTGTTCTCTGCTGTCTCCCAGCTTCCTGGAGCACCCACAAGTGTGATCAGGTGTCCAGGATACATACAGGATCCTTCTGTGTGTCTCGTGTTTGGAAGTCGTGTTTTCCAGCAATAGCCCCTCCTGTTCTTCGCTCTCTGACCGCTCGCCCCCCCCCCCGCAACACACACACCTGTACGCACGTGTGCACACCACGGCCTCGGAGCCCCCCAACACACACACACCTGTACGCACGTGTGCACGCCACGGCCTTGGAGCCCCCCAACACACACACACCTGTACGCACGTGTGCACACCACGGCCTTGAAGCCCCCACCCAACACACACACCTGTACGCACGTGTGCACACCACAGCCTCAGAGCCCCCTCACCCACACACACACCTGTACGCACGTGTGCACACCACGACCTCGGAGCCCCCCAACACACACACACCTGTACGCACGTGTGCACACCACGGCCTCAGAGCCCCCCCCAACACGCACACACACCTGTACGCACGTGTGCACACCACGGCCTCGGAGCCCCGCAACACACACACACACCTGTACGCATGTGTGCACACCACGGCCTCGGAGCCCCCCAACACGCACACACACCTGTACGCACGTGTGCACACCACGGCCTCGGAGCCCCCCAACAAACACACACCTGTACACACGTGTGCACACCACGGCCTTGGAGCGGGCATCCCAGCCTCTCCCACATGGTGCAGCAGCAGGGTGATTTCCTGGCTGCATGTCCACGACCCCGTGCATCAGAACTATGAGGAGACGACCCTGAAACAGCTCTCCCACCATGTCTGCCTCCGCCTGCGTGCGCCTGCGTCCGGGGTCTGACCTCTGGCTCTCCTCACTCAGGGCCAGTGGGGCGTGACAGCAGCAGAGGAGGAGCAGGAGAACCAGAGGGTCCAGGAGTTCCGGGAGTCCATCCCCAAGATGTGCTCCCAGCTGCGGATTCTGACCCACTTCTACCAGGTGCGTGTCCATGCCCTGTGCCGTCCCCCACAAGGGACATGTCTGTCGTGGGGCAGACAGGCCTCGCTCAGTCAGCCCAGCCTCATCTTTGTGGCTCAGAGGCGGGTCAGAACTCCCAGGCGCGTCCCCCGAGTGGAGGACGGTCTGTGGTGTGAGCAGGGGGCCCAGTAGTGACTCAGCCCTGGCCCTGGCCCGGGCCCCAAGGCCTTGGTTTCCAGTGCGCGTCTGTTCCTCAATTCTTGAGTGTCTCCCGTCGGGCTTCCTGACTCCACGTGCTTTCTAGTCACGTGGAAGGTGAGCAGCATAGCACTGGGCTTTCCTGCTCGGAATTAAAACAGCAGGTTCCTTTTCCGAGCTTGCTTTGCTGTTTCACTGATTCTTATAGAACTTAAGGGCCAGAAGGAAAATCTGTTGGTTAGCCTTTCCCGTGAAGCTGCTGTTGTGAATTCCATCGATGGTGTGCCCCCCTGGTCCCGGGACCCCGCCATGGTGGGAACTGCCGGAACCCGCCGCGGGGCTCTGCAGTGGGGGCTCCGACCGCGCCTGAGCGAGTGCATCCCTCTGTCTCCACAGGGCGTGGTACAGCAGTTCCTGGTGCTGCTGACGACCAGCCCCGATGAGAGCCTGCGCTTCCTGAGCTTCAGGCTGGACTTCAACGAGCACTACCGTGCGCGGGAGCCGCGGCTGCGCGTCTCCCTGGGCGCCCGGGGCCGGCGCAGCTCCCACACCTGAGGCCCGGCCACGGGGCGTCGTCACGGGAGCGTCGCATGGCCTCCAGGACGGCCTGCTGCCCGCAGCCCGCAGCCCTGCCGGCCGGCTCGGCCAGAGGCAGGGCATGCTTCTAGGCGGCGGGGCTGACCGTGTTTGTGACGACACCAAGTTAAACAGGCTGGCTTGCACTATCCGAATTTATTTTTTAAAGTCTTCATATGTAAAAGATACCATACTTTGAGGCTTCTTAAGCCCTCCACAGTATGATTTATATTTGTCACTTTTTAAAAGATCACACTTTTCTTTTAGAGAAAATTAAGGCGATGGATATTCATCAGTTGAGATGGTAATGTCATTGCTATTTTTTTAACATCCTCTTTAGAGGCAGTTTTGTTAATGTAACCAAATTAAATTGAAATCTAACGTCCCTACTAAGGAAATATAGAGAGCATTTTATTTTGGTTTTTAGTGTAAAATAACCTCTCTAAGGGCCTATCAGTGCGTTTACACGTATTGTTTTTTTCTCTTCCTTCAAAGTTTACATTTTTGTATCTCATTTACTTTCAGATAACTTGGGAAATAGTGTAGAAAAGGGCAGAGTCCTGATGCCTCAGTCCTTGAACCATCAGCTGAAGCATGGTGTAAATATGGATGCCTGGAAAGTTAATGAAGTACTTTATTTTCAGGTTTCTGATAAGCATTGGAAAGAAATTGTCTTGAATAATGAAGATTTCCTTTTTCCTTGCCTATTTTTTCATTGTAAATATTTATATACTGCTGCCCAGATGTTGGGGGGACATTTTTTGTAAAAATGTCATATCAAGTCACATAAATCTGCCTTTATTATGTTGCGTAAGTGAAAACTAAGACAATTAAAAGCAATTATCTTTCAGATGTGTTGGTTTTTTCTCCAGTTGTCTGAGAGGACAGTCCCCCACCCCCCCATCCCCCAGGCTCCGGGGCCGGGTGTCAGCAGGGTTTCTGCTTCAGCGCGTGAATTACTGCATCTGAAGCCAGGAAGCTGGACCGTGTGCGCCCCTTGGGCTTGCGTGAGCGAGGGTCTCCGCACCAGCAGAGGTGAGGGGAGATTGGTGTTCCGACACCCACACCGGCTCCTCTGGGCGCAGGGTCCTGCAGGACCCAGGGTGAGGGTCAGCGCTTCCTAGGGGGTTCACGTTTACTTTCGGTTTAGAAATTCGTGTGGCGGAGCTGGGAAGCAGGTTCCCCAGTCCGTCTCTGAGACGACTGCCCAGAGCCCGCGGGCCTCGGAGCCTGCCTCTGTTCTGCCCCGAGCGTCTCCCAGAGNGGGGCTGGGTGGGGCCAGAGCACAGTCCTTGGTCAGTGGGGCCCTGTGCCCAGTGGACGGGACCTTCCTGCCCCCGCTGACCCCACCGCCGCTGCCCAGGGAGGCCAATTGCTGAGGCCAAAGCCCCAAGGCTGGTCTCGTGCTGGAGAACTGGCCGCCTGTCCTGGTGGGCGAGTGGCCTGTACCCCGGGCCTGGTCGCCAGCAGACTCCAATCGTGGGCAACTCCCCATCTCTGGGGAGGGCGTGTCCTCCAGACTGAACTCCGGGACAGGAGGGCACAGCCCACGGAGAGCCCCACTTGCAGGGAAAAGAGACTTGGGTCGAATAGCCACGGTCACACTCGGACTGGGTCACGGGGCGCCAGGTCCATGCGAGGGCAAGACGAGTGGAAACCACGATGGCCACGCTGGGGGGTGGTGTGTGCGCCTGGGCAGCCGGGCAGGCCCCCCACCCTGAGTGCGTCTGCACTGCTGTGCGATCCGGGGGACTCAGGTGCAGCAGGCGCCGTGCTGGGGTCACCTGGCCCCTCGAGAGCAGGCTGCCAGACGCTGAGGCCCTGCGCTGGGGCTGGGCCCTCGGGGTCAGACCCCCCGCCTGCTTGCAGGGGGCGCTGCGGGTGGGGTGTGCGCAGCCGCGGCAGCCTCCGGGCCTCACCCAGCCCTCGGACTCGGGGAGCAGGGGCGTGGGCACACAGGGATCTCTGCCTCCAGAGAATTGAGTCAAACGGTGCGGAAATTCAACCAACTGACTCTGGATATTGTTCTGAGGACATGATGCAGGTGTCTCTTCAAGAAGAGAAATGTGCTTCTCTGCCTTTATTCCGGTTTGGCTTTTAATAAAAATGCAAGGAGGGAAAGTTGCATAGCAACTTGCCTGGAGCACAGCTTCATGCTGCTGACGGCAGCTTCCGCCTGGTGTCCTCCAAAGGGTTCACCAGCTCCACCACTAACCTCACCCCAGCCCCCACCCCCGGGGGTCCCCAGAGGGTGCGACAGCCTGCGTCTGCCCCGTGGGGATGCTGTCAGGTCTCCCCTCCCCACCTCGCAGGGGACCTGCCCTGCTCCAGGCACCCGCTGCGGCCTTCATGGCTTCTGTGTTACCTGGGTATCTGGAGACGCCCCTGTGGGCACAGGGCTGGTCCCACAGGTGGTCGTTACCCCACGGGGGCCGGGCCTGGCCCCTGCCCCCTCCTCTCTGAACACCTGTGCCCCTGCGGCCCAGGCCCTCTGACAGGCGTGGGCAGCCGCTGCCCACCTCTTGCCCTCCGGCGCCGAGTCTCGCTCAAGGTGAAACTTGGACAAGAGTTTCCGTGGAGGCTCTGGACCTCCTGGGCACACCGGGCTGCCGGTGGTGGCCTCGATGCCCTCGCATCTCCATGCCCTCCTGCTGCCATGCTGACCTTGCTTCCTCCCAGCTCAGGTTTTCTGTGGTGGGGACGATGTCCCACTTGTTGACTAAGGCTGGAGCAGTAGAGATAGTTAGGAGGTCAAATTAGTGAATGACAAGCTGTTCTGTTCCAGGTTGTCCTGCCTTCTTCCCCGTGTCACCCTCCCTTAGAGCTTCTTCTTGTCCTCTCTTTGGCTCAACGAAGACAGTGCAACCTGCCCTGGTAATTGTGCAATGGAGGTCTCTGCAAACGCATTGGCTCCATTAGCCATGGAGAGGGGTTGACTTTCAGCTGAACACAGCGCCTTTTCAGCTGAATGGGATCCAACGGAAAGACACTCGTGAAGGGTTTGCAGATGGAAGCAGCACAGCAAAGCACCCTGGTCGGCAGTGGGGGGAGCAGTGGGGGTCAGACGGCAGGCGCTGCTGCCCGGATCCTCTCGCACCCCTCCACCGCGTTCCTCTGTGTTCCCACGCTCGTTTCATAAAACCTACACAGAGCCCCAGTTTGCATTTCCCCAGCCTGGTGAACGGGGCGGCGCAACGGCGTTTATGTGCACTTTGTTGCCAGAGGAGGGAGGCGGGAGGGCTGACACTCAGGCCTTCAGGCTGGCTCTTCATGGACAGGATCCTCGAGGATCTCAAGCCTTGCCCTATAGCAAAGAGGCGGGTCTGCGTGCTCTTCTCAAATGTATTTTTTTGCTTGTTTCTGGTTTCTTTATGAAAACTAAAAGAAAACCACATACCCTCACCTTCTAGCTTAACATTTAAAGGGACTGCTTAAGGTCACAGAAGAGAACAGTGTCCTTCTGCGGGACAGTTACCAGCGTGACGTGTGTACATACATATGCCCTTTATTGCTAAGGGTCGGTGTGCGCGCACGCAGTCTGGGTGCCCCGCTCGGGGGGGCTCCCTCGGAGCGCACAGCCCCGGGCCACTCTCTTCCTCTGCCGCTTACTGGAGAGAGTTTCCTGTGCAGAGAGATTTCCTTGAGAAGTTCCAGGACTTCCACCCCCCACCCTGAGCCTCCCTGGGATCCCAGCGGCTCTGCTGGTGACGCCCTGGTCTGCGGGCAGCGGGGGGAAGGGCTGAGGCTACAGGCGAGTTTGCCAGTTTGCGTGGAGGAGGAGTGGGGAGGTGGGTTTAGGGGAGGTTGTCGGTGAGTGAGGAGGGGATGCAGAACCGCAGCTTCAGAGGCACGAGAGGCCGAGGCCGAGGTGTCTGAAAAGGCCTGGGAAGCAGGTCCCGGGCGGGAGGTGCCGGCAGCGAGGCGCGTGGCTGCCCGCCGCTGCGGTGACCTCCCTGGGCCTGGGCACCGGGGCACGTGGGTGTCTCACAGTCCCCCTCACCCCAGTTATTTCTGGAGAGAGGCTTAGTCTCGCTTGGTTCAGCCAAGGAGGGTGGGGAGCCCGCAGGTGGCTGGTGACCCCGGGACCGTGGGCTCTGGGGTGGGGCTCACAGGGTCCCCCTAGGATGGCGTCTCCTCTCGTCCGGAGCTGCTCACGGCCCACGGGGGTCCTCCGAGTGGACTCTGTACTTCCCTTCCCACCAGGGGGACGACCCCTGTTACCACCACGCCGTTGTTCGCTTTACCTGAAGATTTTCCAATATTTTGAAGGATCATGTCCAGAACCGATTGTTTCAATTGTTGATCAGTTTTGGGGTGCTTCTTTCCTGGGGGGAAAATTAATAAAACAATCAAGTCTTTGAAAGTTAAGGCAAGATTCCAAACGTCTTTTCAACGTTAGAAACCATGAGCTCCAAGACAGCAGCACCTGACACAGCTCCTGACGTGGCTCGGGGCCTCGGGCAGGGCCTGGAGACATCCTCCCTTCCAGGCAGATGTCACCAGTGAACACAGGTGGGAAAATTAAAATTAAGTGCATTTTAGCAAACTGAATCCAAGATGTATAGAAATGATACTGTCATGACCAGCTGGGTTTATTCTGGGAATACAAGGCTGGTTCAACACTCAAAAATCAATTTCGTGTAACTCATGATATGAACAGCATTAAAAAAACAAAACAAACCAGTTGATCATTTCCAAAGATCAGTGGCTGGTGAACGAGGACTTGTGGGCTGTAAGTTATTATGCCAAAAGCAGCGACCTCTCTTTTCCTTGCCTCTTTTCTCTTGATGAGAGTGGATCAGCACCTATTCTAATGAGCGAAGTTTTGTTGAATGAGAAGCTCACCCAGGCTTCTATGCGTTGTCTCTGGCTACTTCTGTGCCAGGATGTAGTAAGCAGTGAGAGCAGGAGCCACCTTGCCCCCAGAAGCTAAATTATTTACTGTCTGACTTTTTACCAAAAAAGTTCACTGTGCCTGCAACAGGTACCGAAACAGATTTGGCCAAAACTCAACTCCCATTCACCATAAAAACACTCAATAAACTAGGAGAGGAAGGGAACTTCTTCAACCTAATGAAAGGGTTCTATTAAAAATGCCCACAGCTAACATCACCTTTAGTAAAAGCATCCTTAATGTTTTCACTCTAAGTTATGAAAGAGTGTTCATTCTAACCTCTACTATTTAACACTGAGCATTGTACTGGAGCTGGGGTAATAAGGCAAGAAAAATAGATAGAAGATATATATGTATAGGTATATAAATAAAACTGTTCACAGATGATGTGATTATAAAGAAAATCCTGATGATTCTGCAGGAAGTTTCCTGGGACTGAAGGGCGGGTTGCTCGGGGTGATGGTTACAGGATCAGTGTAAAACAATCACATTTCCATACACTAGAAACAGACAACTGGAAATGAAAAGAAGTACCGTTTGTAACAACACCAAGAATTAGTAAATGTGTATGTATAAATATGATTAAATGTTTGTAGGGTTTTAATCACTGATGAGAAGAATCACGGGAGACCTAAAGAAATGAAGTCACTGCCAGTTTGGAGACCAGATATTGTCCAGATGTCAGCTTCTTCCCAATGGTCTGTGGAGTTGTAGAAATCCCAATCAAAACCACATCTGATTTTTTTTTTTTAGAAATTAAAAAGCTGTGTCTTAAGTTTTTGTGACAAGACAAAGGAACCAGAAGAGCTAAATTGATTTAGAAAATCAAGACCAAAGTAGGAGGATTCACACTACCTGATTTCAAATATTGTTGTAAACATATAGTGACTGATACAATGTGCTATCTGAGAAAGAATAGATCTTATGTGAATGGAATAAAAGAGAGAATCCAGAAATAGACCCACACACATGCCATCAACTGATTGACACCATCTGCAATTCAAGAGCAAAATGTCAGCAAAAGCAAGTCGACAGGGAAAGCTGAGGTCGTTCAACAAATGGTGTTGAAACAATGGAACCTTGATGTGCAAGAAAGTCAGACCAACACAAGACATCTGTACCTTTCATAATGTACACCATGAGCTGGGAGTGGGCCAGAGTCCCAAACGTGAAAGCTGCAGCTGTAAAGAAAAGAACATACGGAGTATTCGTGACTTTGAATTAGGCAAAGATTTTGGATATTTGACACCAAAAACATGATCCAGAAAATGAAAATTGATAAATTGGACTTGATCAATATTAAGAACTTCTGATCCTTGAAAAACAATGTTATGCAAATGAAAAAGCAAACCACAGTCTGGTAGAAAATATTTTCCAATCACATATCTGATGAAGGACTTGTATCCAAAACATACAGATGCTTCTCAAAATGCAATAGGAAAAGAAACTAATAATGGAGAAAATATTTGAACAGAGGTTTGACCAAAGAAGATATGCATATGCGTGCATGCTCAGTCGTGTCCGATTCTGTGACCCCGTGGACTGTAGCCTGCACCGGGCTCCTCTGCCCACGGGTTCTCCGAGCAAGAATACTGGGGTGGATTGGCGTTTCCTACAGGCCAATAAACAGGACAGGATGCTCAACATTATTGGTTACTAGAGAAATGAAAATTAGCACTGCAAGAAGGTACTCCTGCAGGCTCACTAGATTTGTTAAATAGTAGAAATATCAAATATTGGGAAGGATCCAGCAAAACCTGTTTCAACAGTTTCTGACAAAGTAAAACATAGTTACCATACCTCTAGATATTTATTTAAATGAAATGAAAATTTTTATTTACCTCAAAGCTACTATATAGACGGTCGCAGTGGCTTTATTTGTAATTCTGAAACCTGGCAACCATTCAAATGTCATTCACCTGGTGAGGAACAAGCAAGCTGTGGTTCAAGTGGAGCGTCACTCACGGAGGAGGAGGAAGGTGGCAGACGCACACGTGACTTGGCAAATCGCTGATGGAGGAAGCCAGGCTCGGTCTACACAGCGCACGACGCCTCACGTAGACATTCCGGAAAAGGGACGAAACCGGCCAGGCCTTCTCAGGGCTGGGGGCAGGGGAAGAAGCTGACTACACAGAGGCGTGGAACTTGGGTGACCCGCCTTTTCTGTATCTGCTCTCCGTGTTGGCGACACAGCGCTATGCATTTGTCAAAACTTGAGGAAGTGGGATGCTAAAGAAGACGGATTTCACTGCGTGAAAATTATACCTTCATAAAGGCTGACATTTCTTATGAACGAGGCTCTGTCTGCCCAAGTTCTTTACCTGCATTTATTTAATCCTCACAATAGCTCCACAGGTGAAGGGTCTATTGTGTGTGTGTATGCTCAGTCATCAGTCCTAAAGGAGATCAGTCCTGGGTGTTCACTGGAAGGACTGATGCTGAAGCTCCAGTACTTTGGCCACCTGATGCGAAGAGCCGACTCACTGGAAAAGCCCCTGATGCTGGGAAAGATTGAAGGCGGGAGGAGAAGGGGATGACAGAGGATGAGATGGTTGGATGGCATCACTGACTCAACGGACATGAGTTTGAGCAAGCTCCAGGAGTTGGTGATGGACAGGGAGGCCTGGCATGCTGCAGACCATGGGGTCACAGAGTCGGATACGACTGAGCGTCTGAACACAGCAACATGCTCAGTCATGTCCGACTCTGAGACCCCGGGACCGCAGCCCGCCAGGCTCCTCTGTCCATGGGATTCTCCAGGCAAGAACACTGGACTGGGTTGCCATTTCCTTCTCCGGGGATCCTCCTGACCCAGGGATCAAACCTCTTGCGTTGGTAGGTGAGTTATTTACCACTAGCCCCAGCAAAGCTCCACTAGCTTCAGCTTACAGATGATGGCACAGAAGTTCAGGGAGCTGAAGCAACGTAACAGGATCAGAAGCAATTTCATGGAGGTGGCTTTATCTCTGGCAAGTGGAGGAAGTTCTAGATAAATCTGTGTCTCCGGGCGCTGGCTGCTGGCTTCTAGACTGATGATGTCGGTTCCACCGGGAACTCACTGGCGAGGCAGACACCGCCTCGTTCTCCGCGGCAGTGTTTCCGGCTCATTGAAAAACGCGAGTGAAGCCGCCAAGACGGATGAAGGAAGGACTGTGGGGAGCTGTCAGAGCCGCCGCTGCCCCAGGGGCCTCTGGGAAACGGCTGGGGGCTCTCCTGGGTCCCCGAGAGGGGCCCCTTGCAGGTTCCTCTCGCCCCAGGACCCCCAGGCGGGGCCATGTGGCCTCAGATCTCACACCCAGGAGCTGAGCTGTTGCCCGGGGTGATCTTGCTCCACGTTCCTGTCCGACAACCAGGCTCCAAGCTGACATGCACTCTCAGCCCAGAGATGAGCGCTGCTGCGCCCCTGGTGGGGCCCGCGGGCACCCTGCCCGAGCACAGGTCAGCCCAGGCTCAGGCATCGGGGCGCCTGAGTCGTGGCTTCTCCGGGGCTGCAGCCTCCTTGTGGGGTGCTCAGGCGGACTTGAAACTGGAATGGGCTCTGACCACCCAGAGCCTCTTCCCATCTATCGCCGCGGTGGGCTTGTCCTGAGCAGCCCTCTTCGGAGACGTGGATGTCACCCTCACGGGGCCGGGACCTGATAGTCCGGGAGGAAGGAACGCAGGAAGGAAGACGAGCCTCCCTGAGCCTCAGTTCATTTCTGAATCGGAGTAAGATGGCCACATATTGAGTTTTATTTTGATTATTGTTTGACTCAGGAATCCTTGTTTGGGTTTACCCCATAGTTACCAGTTTCCTTTAAAGTTCTGTCGATGTGAGACTCTCAGGCTTTACCAGTCACATCAATGATGCACATCAGCTTAACTCAGGCATTAAATTTATTTTTTGGTAACGCTCCTTAGAAAGCAATGCCCAAGTATGTGCTGTGTACTTAAAGTGATGCTGAAACATTGGAAATAAAGGAAAGGAGATGAAAGACACATGATGAGGACCATAGAACACTGATAAATGAAATTGAAGAAGATTCCAAAAAAAAAAAAAATGGAAAGACAGGCCCTTGGATTGGCAGAATTAGTACAGTTAAAATGGATATATTACTCAAAGCAAGCTCCCAATTTAACTCAATCCATATCAAATTACCCACGACACTTTTCACAGAACCAGAACAAATAATGCTAAAATTTATACAGAACCACAAAAGACCCAGAATTGCCAGAGCAATTCTGAGGAAAAAGAACAAAGCTGGAGGCACAACCCTCCCAGGCTTCAGATAAGTGGTACAAAGCCACAGGAATCAAAGCCATGTGGTGTTGGTGTGGAAGCAGACACAGAGATCCATTTGACAGGAGAGAGCCCGGAAATAAACCCACACACCTACAGCCAGCTAATCCACGACAGAGGAGGCAAGACCACACAGCGGAAAAAGGACAGTCTCCCCAGCAAACGGTGCTGGGAAAGCTGCACGGCGACATGTGAAAGGATGGAATTAGAACGTTCTCTCTCTGACAGGATTCAAGCACCCAGATGCTTGCTTCTCCTGGGGCTTCCTTAACGTGAACCCCGGCAGGGCGCTCGGGGAGCTAGCTTCCTGAACTGTGGCCGTCGTTCTGCGACGCGTGTAAATCAGACAGTCCTGCTGCACGCCTGTCAGTTCTACCTTAATACAACCGGAAGGAGAAGAGAAAATCATTGCAATATTGCCTGAAGAAGCAAGTTACAGCGTTTATACCGTATGTTTCCACTATATTTTAAACACAAGCCTTGAAGAATGACTGAAGGGAAGAATAAAAGGAAAGATCTTGTAATAAGGAAAGATTGGCCTTTAAAATATGAGCTGTCCAAACTCACTCTTAGTTAGAAAATTGCAAATTAAGAGAAGATGGGAGCTCTCCTCACCCATCAGGTTGGCGGCATCTGAGAAGCGTGGGCGCACACGGAGGGGAGGCTGGATCCCACAGCCTCTCTCCTCTGCACGCGGGTGCCAGCCCGGGCAGGTCGGCAGGCTGCTCTTACCGTTACTGTGAAGACTGTCTGCAGTGCCTGAGGAGATCTGCGCGTCATGGTAACCCCCGGGGCCGCTGGTGTGGTGAGACGCGTCAACACCGGGTTCTTGGATGAAGAACATGGGGAGAAAGGGGGAAACGTTTGCGTGATTACATATTCATCGACATCTTGGCTCACACTTTTTCTTTAGAAGTTTGGGTTAAAACACCACTCTTGTTTTCAGATTTCATTGGAAAGTGTTTTGGGAAGTTATTATGTATAATGAACACCGGGGTCAGGCATTATCTGACTCTTAAGATTACAGGTCACTCCTTTTTTGACCCCCTTCCCAGTCCTAAGAATTTTCCCTGGAGATTCATCGCCAACAATAGGAAGCTTCACACGTGCCAGGCTGTTCGTTGCAGCAGTGTTCATAGCGTTGGCAGCTGCAGCGGCTGGAAACAAGTGAGAAGACTGTGCCGATAACGGGCACTAGTGAGGCTCACACGCCCTGGGGGCCGCCGAGCGGCTGTGGGAACTAGACCGAGACCGTGGCCATGCGGAATGGTTCTCAGTTGTCAAGGCTGAGTGGGAAAAAAAAGGCTAGAGGCGATTTACAGTGTGAATACACTGAGCAATTACAGAGCAATAAAGGAGGGACACACGGATATCCCTCATCTCCTCATCTGTGCAAAAGGAGACCCAGCAAGGGCAGGGTGGATCTGACGAGGCTGGTCCCCTGCAGCCGGGTGGGGATATGGGGCGGGGGAGGCGTGTCTGTCCCTTTCTCTATAGCTGTCACTTCCAGAACCACGGTGATGTGCTGCAGAGTCAAACGTAAATGAAGTGGAGTCGCTCAGTCGTGTCCGACTCTTTGCGACCCCATGGGCTATAGCCCGCCAGGCTCCTCCGTACGTCCGTGGGATTCTCCAGGCAAGAATAAACTGGAGAGGGTTGCCATTTCCTCCTCCAGGGGATCTTCCCGACCCAGGGATTGAACTCGGCTCTCCCGCATTGTAGGCAGATGCTTCTACAGTCTGTGCCACCGGGAAGTCTGTAAATAAGTATTTATAAAGAACAGGAAGAAGGGACCGATGTGGAGAGCAAACAGCAGTAGGTAGCTGATGACGGGAAGAAGCCGCGTGTGGGGTGCCAGGGGGAGGGGCGGCCCCGGGCCACACTAAATCACAGGCGTCATTCTGCAGCAGGGAGCCTGGGTCTTCTCTAGGGTTGGGGGGGGCAGCATCCTGAATCCAGGACTGAGCGAGTGATTGAATATGTTGTGGAAAGTGGGAGCCAGGTTTCTGACAAAGTGGTACCAAAAGGAGCTTCACAAAGGGTCCTGAAAGAACCCTGTGATGCTCGAGGGGTGCACTGTGGCTTAGAGAGAAGCAAGGGGAGCGGGGAGGGGGACAGGGGACCCAGCACAGAGGTGTGTGTCTGCGTGCGTGTGGGCGTCTGTGTGTGTGCGTGGGTCTGTCTGCTTCTGCTCAGGACGTGCTGTGGCGCCAGAGAGTGAGGACATGCCGAGGGCGGGGTGACGAAGGACAGAAAAACCAAACGGAAGGTGTTCCCCAGGCAAGTTCGGGGCAGTGTGGACAAAGAAAAGAATGACATTAGCGTGCCAAAATTGACTGAATAGAGTGTTTACGAGTGTGAATGGATATTAAGAAGCATTTAAATATGCACACATATTTATAAAGGGCAAGCTCTTTCTTAAAGCAGAATCCCAATCAATAAGCAGAGATGCGTGATGGAAACAGACCACCACCTCTGATAGAAACAGACCACCGCCTCTGATAGAAACAGGCCAACACCATACTGGGCTGCAGTCGATCCACACGGGTCCCGGTGTGCGGCGCCTTCTGAGACGTTAGAAATGCCAGCCCTCTGCCTGCTCCGTATTCCAAACGCCAGCTGCCAGCTCACTGGAGAGACTGGGGGACGGGGTGAAATGCAGATCCCGGGGCCCCGCCTCAGAGACACTAGTGGGCCTGCCGGAACATGTTCTGAGGCAGCTCCCCTCCCGAGCCGCAGTGATCTGCGGAAAGCAGCCTCACTCTCCAGCCTGGGCTGTTTGTCCTGGGAAGAGGCGTCTCTGTCTGCATGCACCACGTCTGAGCTCAGGTGCGGGCCTGCCGGGGTGCATTTACCGTTGAGAATTTTGTCCTCAGCCTCCAGAGATATTGGTGACACGTCTGCAAACTCATGGAAACCCTCACCAGCGCTGAGTTGGTTGCTCTCATCAATGCTGGCATCTTGAGGAGGAGCGTGGAAAGAATAGGAGAAAGCATGATGCAGGGATGCTCTGACCCACACTGCGCTTTGGAACCTGAGGCGGGGGCGCTAACACACTTTCCAGCTTCTCCTGACAACGTGCTCTAGGGAGTCAACATGCACAGGCGGGCATTCTCTGACCTCTGTGAACCCAGCCGTTCGGCGGATGTTCCGAGAGCTAATCCCAGGAACTGGCATTGACATCTGGATGCAGAATTTCACGTAAACTCTGACCTTCCCTGCTGCCGAATGCGTTCCATGCTCTGTTGTAATTTCAGACACACGGCTCTCAGCATCGTTGAGGGTTAACTGAGTGTTCTGCTTGGACCTCAGGGTGATGTTTCCCTTTTCTGTGTATGTTTGGACCACGCTAAGCTGCAAACTCTAGGAGATGGTGAAGGACAGGGAAGCCTGGTCTGTCCCCTCTGAGACACCCTGCCTCTGTGAGCTGCGCCCCGGCAGGCAGGCAGGCAGGCAGGCGTGAGCGTCTTTCCTTATTTTACCCAAGGCGGCCGGCTTCTGCCTGCGCATCCCCGCATCCGCCCAGGGAGCATCTGCCGCGGGCCCTGGTCTTGATGTTGGCAGCCCTGGACCACACCTGGCTCTGCTCTCACTGCACGTCCTCTGACGTGTGTCTCTCGGGCCTCGGGCTTCCTCGTCTGTACAATGGGGTCTGCACTTATCTCATCAGGATTTGTTTGAGGTTCAAACGAAGCCGTGCGTGTAGGACACGGTTAACACAGTCAGGGACCGGAGTGGGGGCTACACAAACACACGTCAGAGCCGAGCCCCAGCCTCGAACCCCGCGGCCAAGCTGACCAGCTTGTCCACACCCTGGGTTTGGGCTGACTCCCGCCCCGCGGGGTGACCCACCCGCCCCGGTTTGCCCTGCTTTTCATGTTTTATCAAGAACGTCCCCCATCCCAGGAGCCCCTCGGTCCCAACAAGGAGGCCGGCTGGTCCCCCGGCTCCAGCTCACGTGGAGACACACGGAAACGTCCACACCTGTGGACGTCATACGTGTAATTGTCTCTGGAAAAAATCCCAGGTAGCAGTCGTGCAAGGTGAGAAAAGCCTAAAGGTGCTTTTAAACCTCATGTATTTCCTAATGTAAACTTTCCTTTCAGAGAAATGACATGTTGAACGTGCACACGGACAACGACCAGACCTGCTTCACACAGAGCACGCGCTGACCCCCGTGTGAGCTCCCGTGGGGCAGCCGGTGGCCTCTGGACGTCACACCTGCAGGACGCTGACCGCTGACCCCGCAACGGTCCTGGAGACTGGACACCCGCTGTGGGCACCGTCAGACCCTCCAGGACAGCACGTCACAGCGCTCCCTGACCTGGCGGGGCTGGGTTCTCCCCAAGCGGGCACCTGACCCCGGCCCCAGGCTGCAGGCACCCCATCACCGCTCCCGTCGGGCGGGGCCTCAGACCTGGCTACCTCCCCCGCCTGTGCGGCTTGTGCCAGGGTATCTGGGCGACAGCCCCCCACCCCCCACCCCACCCAGATGTGGCCGTGTTTGAGAGGAGGGGTTCCTTACCGAATATTGTAGCCATATCATCATCCAGATTACTTAAATTTGCTGGCGTTTCAGTGCTTGAAGCTAGGGGGGAAATAAAAACCCTAGTAGGTTAACAGCGTTCCTTGAATAGGCACTGATTCTCTCGAAATAGGTTTGGTTTTGTGGGCCAACCAGCCTGCTCGAGGGGAGGGAGACCCGCATGGGATCTGGGGACCCAGGGCTCTTCTGGATGGAGGTTGGAGGGTGATGACGGTGGCCCTGCCCTGGGAACTAGCCCCGCTCCTGGCAGGCTCACTGGTGCCACCCTCAGGGAGGGTAAGAAGGGACACATGTGTCCTTCTGTGAAAACCACACTCTCCTCCCTGATGATGAGTTCCAGCCGCGAGCCTGCCTGGGGGCCGAGGACGTAGTGGGGAGGAATGGAGACGGGCACGGCCACCTGCCCTCTGCCCCTCTGGTTGGGGACCTAGAGAGCCCGGCCCCTGTGGATCCTCGTCTGTAAACAGCGATCCCCTGGGGTGCTCGGTCCCCGGCGGCTGGTCTCTGGAAGCCAGCCCTCCGTGAGGCCCTGGACCCCTGGCTCCACCTTCCCGGCCTCGCTGACCTGAATCAGCCGTGCGGAGCCGGGCAGGGTGCGGGGGCCCTGAGCGCTGGACCCGCTGCACCCCCAGGGTGCCTCCCACTCTTCTCAGAGCTGAGGTTGGGGTCCACATCCTCCACTCAAGGTCAAGATCAGCCCTGTCCTCCAGCCCCGGGGGGACCAGAGAGCAGACGGCTGCCCCCCAGGATCCCCGGGGTCCCCAGGAGACCAGAGAGCAGACAGCCGCCCCCAGTACCCCAGGGAGACCAGACAGCAGACGGCCACCCCCCAGGACCCCCAGGAGACTGGAGAGCAAACGGCCGCCCCCAGGACCCCCGGGACCCCAGGGAGACCAGAGAGCAGACAGCTGTCCCCAGTACCCTGGGGAGACCAGAGAGCAAATGGCAGCCCCCAGGATCCCAGGGAGACCAGAGAGCAGACGGCCACCCCCCAGGACCCCGGGCAAGGCCGCCTTCCCATGGCACACACAGAGTGTTCAGGTGGTGTCTGCGGGTGTTCAAGTTCCTGCACTAAACCAATGACGACGCTGATTTTGAAATGGTTTTAATGACGGACAATCTGCATAGCAATCGCTCATCTGCGCACACGCGGGCTCAGAACAATGCAGGAAAACTGCAGAGAAAGGTCTGTGCTGTGATGACAATCGCCTCCCAGTGCGCTGACCTCCGTCAGCGCCGCAAACAGAAGCACAGTCCTCTTCGGAGGCGGCGTTAGCGAGTCATTACGGACGGGCACAGCTGCTCCTGCCAGCGCTTTGTTAAAAACATTCTTCTCATTTTGCGTCTGTCCCTAATTATAATGGAGCCACTGTGCAAGCCCGCCCGCGCGCGTGTGCAGAGAAATATTGATGTTTGGTGACNGGGTCGGGATGCAGTGGCCAGAGCCCAGCGGGGCCTGCCCGGGCGGGATTCGAACCTGCTGCCTGTAAAGGACATTCTGAGACGGGGGTGGGGGGTGGGAGTTTGGGCGTGGGCCGGGACTGGCCCTGCTCAGGAGTTTTCTTCATTTTGTTAGTGCTTCAGTGCACTGAAGGTGCGGGAAAGGAAAATGCCCTTATCTTAGCAAGACGCGTTTGCAGGGAATCCTAAGACATTTTGGGCGATGGCAAAATACTCCAATAACCACAAAAGTGTGTATGTGTCTGCAAAAACAAGATGGCAAAATGTCTGCGACTGAAATCAGGTAATGGAGTTTCTTCCCACGACTCCTCTACTCTCGGGTAAGTGAGAAATTTCCATCATAAAAGTTAGAGTATATAACGCACGCTACTCTCCCACAGAGTGTGGGGTCTGAAAAACTCTTTGAATATAGGATAGCTAAGCAGCTTGCTCCGTCCTCTAGGAATAAGTGGTAAATCTGGGGAGGCACGCAGGGGAAGGGCCTGGGAGAACCCCGCACCCCCATGTCCTCCCGGCCACGACCGCCCCGAGGCTGTACCTGAGGTCAGGTTGATCGGCGGGAGCTCGGCTCCCTGCCCGCAGCAGAGCAGCAGGACCAGGAGGGTCACTCCCGTGGTGGCCGCCATGCCCCTCCAGCAGGAGGAGGACCCTCTCCTGAAGGCCCCTCAGCTTCTCTCGCCTCTGTCTCCAGGATGCAGCGGAATGCCCAGGGTGTGTGACATCACGGCAGGAGGGGAGCCGGGTCCTGCCCATGTGTGGGGGTCGTGACAGGGAAGAGGGGGTCCCCTGGGACTGTGGGGAGCGGGGACCCTTCTCCTCACCCCTGATGAGGTCCCCCCTCAGGCCTGTTGGCCCTGGGAACTGCCAAACCCAGCAATCCAGCTTCGGGCAAAAGAGGTGGTTGGAAGGAGGCTGGGGCTCACCGAGCTGCAGGGCTGGAGCCGGCAGGGCAGCGGGGGTGGTGCCCAGGCCTCCCCATGTGCCCAGGGCCCCGCAGCTCCAGCCCCCTTCTCCTCTTGCAGCAGTGAGACCCCGCGGCGAGTCCTCCGGCGGGCTCGGCCGGGCCCCCTCTGTGCTGCGCGCTCCGTCACGCAGTTGTGTCTGACTCTGAGACCCCATGGGCTGCAGCCCACCAGGCCCCTCTGTCCATGGGATTCTCCAGGCAAGAACACTGGAGTGGGCTGCTGTTTCCTCCTCCAGGGGATCTTCCTGACCCAGGGATTGAACCCACGTCTGCTGCATTGGCAGGCGGACCCTGTCGCTGAGGCTCCAGGGAAGCCCGTGGGCCATAAGCCATCCCACACCCCAGTCATGGACTGCCTCCCGCGTCTGGGGTCAGAGTCACCCCACCCGGGGAGGGGCGAGTGGGACAGTCCTCCAGCCACAGGGCGGTGATCCTGGACGCACAACAGCCATGCCGCCTAAGCCCGGGACGGGCCCTAAAGACGGTGCCCCTGCTGGGGCACTTTGGCTCTTTTTATTGAGGATACCGGGAACTAATGCAGACGTGCAGACAGCAGTCTACCTCGAGGAGCGGCCCGGAGGATGCTGCAAGCGTCTGCAGCATCCGTAGCCTTATTAAACTTAAACAGAGCTCACGTTTGCAGGCGGTGTGGTGGGTTCCGTGTCCTACGTGAGCCGGTCAGTGGTCTGAAAACACACAGATCAGTGGTCTGAACGCTTTCCACTCAAGTGTGGTCCTTGGACCAGCATCCTCAAGCGGAAAACGGCACCATGGAAGGGCCCACAGTCTGAGCCGCTGTCTGTGGTGGCCAGAGGCAGCAGGGAAGCCAGCGTCCACAGTGACCGCCCAGGGGGGAAGTACCGCCCGCAGCAAACCAGGTGGTGGAAGCGTGGCTACAGTACCTGCCCGGGAGGTGAAGCTGTCTCAGTCACCATCCAGGTCGGCCTCCGCCTGGACCAGATCAGGAACTGACAGCTTCCCGCGGTTTAGTATCTTCAAAGAAATGTCTTTTTTTCTAAAAAGGAGCTGTGGGCATAGATGGAGGTGATGACCGAACAGCCGCATGACTGTACTTTATATCTCTGAAACTTACACTTAAGAATGCTCACAGTGTTAACTTTTTTACATTGTTTTCCAAATTGGGAGGGAAAAATATGCAGATATAAAGTGCATGGAAGAGTCTGTGGCATGTATTAAGGACTCAAATGCTAGGTATGAAAGGAAATTTTAAAAAACTGGAAAATTGTGGGTGGGCCTTGTCCAATCAGTTGAAGGCCTGGAGAGGGGGAAAAAAAAAAAAGCCTGAAGTTCCCCAGGTAAGATGGAAGGCAGCTCCAGCACCTCCCTGGGCCTCCAGCTCACCTGCCTGCCCTGCCGTCACAGTTGTGAGTCAGTTCCTTAAAATAAATCTCTATATATACACCTACGGGCTTCCCGTAGAAGACGGGTTAGATTGACTTCTAACAGTCCATCCCAGAACTCAAGCCTGAATATTCACGGAAGGACTGATGCTGAAGCTGAGGCTCTAATTCTTTGGCCCCCTGATGGGAAGAACTGACTCAGAAAAGGCCCTGATGCTGGGAAAGATTGAAGGCGGGAGGAGAAGGGGACGACAGAGGATGAGCTGGTTGGATGTCATCACTGACTCAAAGGACATGAGTTGGAGCAAGCTCTGGGAGTGGGTGATGGACAGGGAGGCCTGGTGTGCGGCAGTCCCCGGGGTCGCAAAGAGTTGGACACGACTGGAGTGACTGAGCACACATACACGAATGTATTTTAGGATAATCTGGTCTATATCTGCAAACTATTTTGCCGGAATTTGTGTGAAACCTGTACATCAATTTGAGGAGAATTGTTAAATGTTTTTTTCCTGCCTGAAGTGACATGACTGAGTGACTCTTTCTTCATTAGCTTGCTAAGATGGCCAGTCACACTGAGAAATTTCTATAGTTTTATCTTTTTATCACTGATTTTCTTCTCTTTTCTCCATTCTGCTGTTGCGCCCATCTTGTGAGTTTTAAATTCTTTCCAGATGCAGTGTTTGTTAATTCTGAAATGTCTGTATGCTTCTTCTGCCTTGTATTTTCTCTTTGTTTGCTGAAACCTTCTCTGTCTTTGTTGAGACTTTCTATTTTTTCATTTGTTTCCACTGTGTTTGTAAATGCTTGTTGAAGCATTTTTGCCATCGCTGGTTCCACACCCTCTTCAGAGACTTCTCGCGCTTGTTATTTCAGGGCTGGCGTCTGTTGAGCGTCTGTTCTTGTTCCACTTGTCATTTTCCTGGTTCTTGGTGGGGCAGAAGGTCGTCTACAGAAGCGTGGATGGTGTGTGGATTGTCTTGTAAGACGTGGATCTCTCTGAAACCTGTTGGTAAGCAGGCAGGCCGCTGACCCCAGGCTGGGGTGTTTATTACTGTCAGCTGGGGTGGATGCCTGGGTTCCCCACTCAGCCTGCTCCACCACAACCCCAGAGGTAGGCTGGCCTCCTTGTCTTCAGCTCCACGATGGTGCAAGCCAACTTCTGCTGGCGGGCTGGGGACAGGGTCCAAACTTCCTCTGTGCTGTTGGGCTAGAGAGGAGCCATTACTGTGGAGACACTGCTGACCTCAGGAAGCCGGCCCGTCTCCCCACCCTCAGGCTGGAGACCTCGGGAAGCCGGCCCGTCTCCCCACCCTCAGGCCGGAGACCTCGGGGAGCCGGCCCGTCTCCCCACCCTCAGGCCGGAGACCTCGGGGAGCCGGCCCGTCTCCCCGCCCTCAGGCCGGAGACCTCGGGGAGCCGGCCCGTCTCCCCGCCCTCAGGCCGGAGAGCTCGGGGAGCCGGCCCGTCTCCTGGCCCTTACTGCTGACCTTGGGAAGCTGGCCCATCTCCTGGTCCTTAGGCTGCTGACCTTGGGAAGCTGGCCCGTCTCCCAGTCCTTACTGCTGCCCTCGGGAAGCCGGCTCAGGATGAAGAGCAGGCTTTTGCATTCGGATCTCTGCGTATTTCCAGGTTGGCCGCTTTCTCTGCTGCCTGCTGGGAGCCCTGGGCCAAACCACAGATCTGGGGCTCCCGGCCAGGCTGGTCCTCGGGTCCTCGAGCATCTGAGCCACCTGCTCCTTCCAGAGACCTCTCACGGTTGCTTTGCCTGTGACGTCCAGGCCCTTCCGTGGTACCTAGCAGGAAGAACAGGGAAAAGGACATCTGCTCCAGTGTCCACGCCATAGGAGACCGTGAAGGCTCTCTGTGAAACATGGGGCCTGCATCCCGCTGGGTTATGCTTTGGAACAGCCGTGGTCAAGAGGTCAGCTCTGGTCACAGGGCTGACTTATTCCCCAGCTTAGCCACTTACAGGCTGGTCCCACGGGGACAGCTGTTCCCAGGGGGCTGGGTCATTTATGTCTGGCTCATGCCACCCTGCTGGGGTCTGGACGTGTGGCGACCCTGGTCCCAGCAAGTCCTGAGATCATTTTCAAAGCATGTTTGCAGTTGTTTTCACTTTTGAAATATCCATTGGACCTGTAATTTGGCAATGGCCGTATAATCGATTGTTTGAAAGCAGGAGTGAGGCTGGCTTCTATACTGTAAGCTCTTCTAAGTGACAGAATGACAGGACTGTGGCTGGAGAAGGGCAGACGGTGGGCACCTCCACTCCCTGAGGACACAGCCCTCTGCCCGTGCGCGGCGCTGAGTCAGCGTGTGGTGCGCTCGGGCACCGGGCCATCATCCTAACGGCCGCGAGGCCGCCAGGCTGCGTGCATTCCATCGCGTCTTCTCCCGCTCTCTCTCTCTGCTCTCCGCAATCTGTGTCATTGTCTTCTTACTTTTGTCTTCAGAAAGCTTTAAATAGACTTGCTGGGAAAGAGGAACTGTGTCAGTCACTGAGTTCTGATGCTTCACGGATTAACTGTAGAGACCGGTTACGCCGACGCTGTAAAGGTGGGGAGGGACCTGGTCTCGCATGGAAGTCATGGGGGGCCACGGCCAGTGGGCCTTCCTACTAGGGAGGGTCCATGGGAAGCGAGTCCGGGCAGAACAGCCCTGATGGTGCCCAGCAGCAGTGCTGGGTACTGTGCTTAGGGACCCCAGTCTTGACCTCAATGGGCTGTAATAGCTCTGCATTCACAGGACTCCTCCTCCAGGAATTCTAAGGGTGGGTGACAAAAGTGAAATGCCCAGGGGAAAGGCCACCTCTGCTGAGAAAGCAGCAGGGAGGGTTTGCCTGAGTAAGGAGACCCCTAAGAACACCTCTATATCCATCCATCCACCCATCCACCCATCCATCCATTCATCCATCCACCCTTCCATCCACCTACCTATCCATCCATTCATTCATCCATCTTCCTTGTCTCCACGTGGGCTACGTCTTCTGAGAGGAAGATGTTTCAATGTTGCTCTGATAAGAAATCCAATTATTTACATGTTGCTACATACAATAAGGGCTTCCCTGGGCTCAGTGAAGAATCTGCCTGCAATGCAGGAGACCTGGGTTTGATCCCTGGGTTGGGAAGATCCCCTGGAGAAGGAAATGGCTACCCACCCCAGCATTCTTGCCTGGAGAATTCCATGGACAGAGGAGCCTGGTGGGCTACCGTCCATGGATCACAAAGAGTTGGAATGACTGAGCACACACACACACACACACACACTTCTGCTCTCCGCAATCTGTGTCATTGTCTTCTTACTTTTGTCTTCAGAAAGCTTTAAATAGACTTGCTGGGAAAGAGGAACT